TCTCCTACCTCAGCCTCCTGAGTAGCTGGGACTACAGGTGTGTATCACCATGCCCAGCTAATTTTTGTATTTTTAGCAGAGACGAGGTTTCACCATGTTGGTCAGGCTGGTCTCGAACTCCTGACCTCGTGATCCACCCGGCTCGGCCTCCCAAAGTGCTGGGATTACAGGTGTGAGCCACTGCACCCGGCCTTAAAGTCTCTTTTCTTTCTGAATAGTCAGCAGCCTTCATTCTTCAAATAGGAAAGGCCCAAACCAAGGGTCCCCCAACTTGCTCCTCTTTTCATGTCATCTGGATTAGTCAATGATGCCTCATTCAATCCAGTGCCTCCAGCCAGAAACTGGGAGGGATCCTTGACCTCTTTCTACCCATCAGCCATCTTGTCCAATCCATCACCAAACTGCAAACAGCTTCTCCACTTCTCTCAATTTCCACTACGGCAGGCCTTGTCCAAACCCCCATCAACCCTCACTGAGCTAGTAGTGTGCAAGCTTCCTGAAGTCTCCTGACGCTCACTCCCTCGTCCCACCTCCTATCCATTCTCGGCACCGCAAACAAAGCAACTTTCTAAAACACAAATTGGATCACTTTATTCTTATTCTTGAATCTCTTAAGGGGGTATTCCCATTGTGCTTATGATGACGTCACAAATCTTTACTCCGGTTTATCAAATCCCATGTACGCTCTCCAGCATCCTCTCCTACTCATTCCCCAACACCATTTCCTCCTCAAGACTTCCCGATCTCTCTCCATATTATGCTCAGGCCCATCCTGGACCCAGCTAACCCTTACTCACGCTGTATCTCTCCATGTAAATGGCATTTCCTCAGACAGGCCTTCTTGACTCCCTCCTCCCCTTTGTAATCATCTCAAATTGTAATTATATGTTTGATTGTTCACTTAGTTATAACCCCTTTCTCTCACGAGGCTCCATGAGGGGATAGAGCACTTTTGTCTTCTTCATTATGATATTTCTGCACCCACCACAATGGCCAGTCCACTGTGCGCAAATGTTTGTTGAATGAGTAGACAGGTGACGGCCCCTTAATAAAAATTTCCTTCTTCTGGTTACTTTATTTCCATCCTATAAGCTATTATCAGGAGCAACACTGCAGATGATCATTTCTTCGTAAGTTTTTCACTTTTGCAAGAGCTCGCCCTGTGAAGAGCTTTTGCATTTTGGTCTAGGTAGGCCTTATTTGAAAGTGGCCATCTCTCTTCACATGCACCCTCCTTTGCTTAGAGATGCAGAGAGTTTAAGACTTCACCAAGGGTGGACATGTTGTCGACACTTGACATGGCGATGTGGAGTAAGGTTCTGGGTCAACCTCCACTGACGTTTGAATCTTGGCTCTGTCTCTTTCTAGCTAGCCGACTTTATGCAACTAACTTGCCTCAGTTTTTTCTCAACTCTAAAATGTGGATAATAATAGGATCTAATCAATAGGTTGTGTTGAGGATTTAATGAAGTAACAAATATGAAATGGTTAGTACAATGCTTGGCACATAGCAAGTGCTTCAGAAACACGGGCTGCTATTAATATGTTTCACTCAATCCCAGAGGAAAGTTTGTTCACATGCCGAGTTCTAGGGCTGGGGAATTTCCGGGGAGGCATCTTTCTTTGTTTTCTGTCTCCCTTTCCCTCTCATTTACTTTATCCTATTCCCCCTATCCTGATGTGCTGTGGTCCCAAAAGATGGCAAGCAAAACTTTGATAGACTTTAATTCCCAACCTGAAATGCACAAGCCAGTAGTATAAAATTGCTGATGGCCATTACTTAAACTTCGGCAAGATGGATTATGCCTAGAAACAATTAATAATATGTTAGGCAAATCACTCCTCGATAACGTGGGTGCACTGGCATTTGGTGTCAGTTCAGGAGAGCGCCCTTACAAGAGAGAGCGGGTGACATTTACCTTCTAAACAGAAGGCGCTGCACGCCGAGTGCCAGAGTACCCAGAAGAATTTAACATTGCACTCCTACCGCCCTCCCCCACTTCCCGGCTTCAGCAAGGTGGTTTTAAAATGAGAAGCACATCCCGAGTGCTGTGTAGGTGGTGGCGTGGGAGGAGGTGAAATGCAAGCTTTATTTTCCCGGCTGCCTGTCATCCGATTCCCCGCTTTCCTCCGACTTTCATGAGTGTCGAGGTCATCCCGGTGCAGGAAAATCAAACTCCTGTTTTTCAAACCCAATAAAGGCCAGCATTGTACGTCCGCGTAAACAGAGGGGCCAGACGGGCAGGGTGGCGGGACGACGGGTGGGCCGCCCTCTGGCGGCCGCGGGAGACAGCGTGGCCCGCGCTCCGCCCCGCCGCGGCAGGGGGGCGGGGAGGGCTCGCGCGAACATGTAAGTTAAAATTAGATCGATAGTCAGCGGCCTCAATCGATGCTTCGCAGGGAGAGCATGCAGCCGTCTATTTATACGCTAACCCGGCATTATCTTTCCCCTTTAGGACGCAGAGATCCATGACCGCGCGCCGCGGGGAGGAGGACGGCGCCGGGAGCCGGTGCGCGCCGCACTGCAGCCTCGCGGGGGCCGGGGACTCCTGCAGCCCCGGGTCCGCGCGGGGCGGGCACGCGGAGGATCCACGCGGGCGAGCTGCGGCCTGCAGCTCCCAGCCGCGCTCCCCGGGGGCGCCCGCTCAGGACGCGCCCCCGCCCATGCCGTACCTCGGTGGAATCCTTAGCCTTTAGAGGGAGGGCTAAAACAACAACAGACAAACGGCAGACAAACGGAAAACAAATTCGAAAGGGCCCGGGGACCCTCCCGCAGAAGCAGGGCGCACACCGGCCAGCTCTAACTCTAGACTTGACTGCATGTTGACAAGGGTTTCCAACCCCGCTTCCCCGAGGTACTGCGTGACTCAGTCCCTGCTCAGATGGTGGTTGCTGTAAATAGCTGCAATTTCCCTCCTTCCGTCCCAAAGCACGGATGGGAAGGGATTTGCAGCAGGGACTCTGCATTATACTCAAGGTCTTGGTAAGATGGACATGCGCTTCATCAGCTCCCGACTTCTTGACTTCTCGGCATTCCCAGGTCCGATTGCCCCAGTGGTGGAAGTCACCTCCCATATATGATGAAATAAATGTCCACACCTAGCATTTGTGATAACGTTGTTACATTGTTTTCGGTTTTTGAAAGATGCCGCAGAAAGAGGCAAAACCTGGTACAGCACAACAGCGTGCCCCCTCGCCCCCAAATAGGAGATCAAATCTCAATTCTAAGGGAAAAAAGAGGAATTCTCGTCTTAGATATGTATGTAACATATTTTATAGTATGTATTTTTATTTAAACAATTTTGCTTTTCTGTATTTTACAAACTTTCTTTATTAAGGATTTTTATTTCGTGCTATTTATGTAATACAAACTCTGAAGGCCCAAAGAAATTTAATATTAGCTTAAATGTACATTGGATATATTTATAGAGTCAATTTGTTAGCTGCTATAATTGTTTGACATAAAAGGCTTTTGAACTAAAAATAGAAACGGAAGCATTCTTTATTTAGAAGCAACCTTACTCCTCTTGCAGCTCTGTTGGCTTACCTCCAAAATACCTCCTGCATCTGTCTCTTTCTCACCACCTAGACCGCTCCTAGCTTAGTTACGGGTCACTCTTCATCATCATTCACCTGGATAACGAAAATAGCATCTTGTCTGGTTTTCCTGGATTCACTTTCTCCCCACCGCAGTCCTCACTTGCCACACAGCAACCAGATTGCTCTTTTAAAATGGAAATCAAATCCTATCTCTTCTCTTTTTTGAAACTTCAGTGGCTTCCATGGCACCTTGATTGGACCCCAAATTCTTGACCATGGCCAAAATGTAATGTGCCATCTGCCCCATCCACCCTGGCTCATCGCTGCTCATGGCACTTTCTCACTTGTCACAGCGAACTTTCACATCTCCCCTTCTTTCAGATCCAAAGTCCCAGAAGCTCATTTCTGTCTCCTAATCCTAGCCCTTGCCATTCACTCACTGTGGAAGATCTCTTTCATAAATTCTCCCCAAGTCTTTCATTCTTACCATGCCAGTCTCAGCTGAGACATCAGAGCTGACCACCTTCTGTCTTACCCCTGAGCTGAACTCATGATCACATGACCCTATTCTACATCAACACAGTAATTAATTGAAATTATTTTCTTTATCCATGGCGTTATCAGGGAGTTCTCCGTCTCCACACACTGGAACGTAAGCCCCATGGAAACAGGCTCCATGCCTTTCTTGTACACTGTGATCTCTCTGGGTTCTAGAATAGTGCCTGGCCCATAGTTGGTATTAGCTTGGCTGTGATGAATACACTTTAAACAATCCTGCTGACTCCATTTTACCCACCCTGAGCTATGTAGGGCATTCTGTTCCAAGAACTTTGTAGTCTGAGACACCTGGCATCTTTGTAACCAATTTTCTGAGAAATAGGGCCCTCTGGCCCACACATCCTGTACCTACCCCACATCCTGAGTGAAAAACAACTTCAAATAAAATTTTGTTGTTAGGCAATCCCCCTTCCCCTAACCTGCTCCTTCTGCTTCTGTAATAATCTGCTTACCGCCCCCGACCCTAAACTGATATAAAGATGTTGACTACCCTTGGTTCTGGGCCGAGAGGCTTGAGCTCTAGCTGACTCTTGGACGCCGGCCATTAAAGTGGACTCTCCACAAACTCAGAGCGTGGTGGTTCTGTTTAAACTCACTCGGGTATGACAAGTATTGATTGAATAAATGATTGAGTGTGATTTCCTAGTGTCTTGTTTATAAAATGCCACCAGTAGCACTCTGCACACTCTGCTGTGAGTTATAGTTACTTTTATGCCCATATGTTTCCTCCTCTCAAGTGTGAACTCTACGAGGCAGGATCATATTTAGTTCATTTTATTCTCCATGTCCTTATGGAGTCTGGAACATTACAGGTGTTTAATATATTTTCTGGATTGAGTTGCAGTAAGTAAATGGATAATAAGATGATACAATATGACTTTACCCCAAGTCTAACTGTTCACCTGGGGACATGCAAAATTATTATGATATCCAAAGGAATAGGTTGTTGCTTTGACCCTTGTAACATCGCATATACATATGCATGCACCCACAAACGCACTTGTTCTCACTACTTTCAAAGAATGTTCATGTCCATTACTTTATTTGATCACCAAGCTGGTATGTAGAAACAGAAGCTCAGGAGCGCTGGTTGACCTGCCCCAGCTTGCATAGCTAATACAAAGCAGAGACAGGGATAGAGCCCGTTACTTTCAAACACCCACAAACATGCCCACATCAAAGCACATGCACACATTTCCACATTTGCCAATGTCGTCTGTCCTCAACCACATTTGTGGTTTAGTTCAGATGGGATCACAAATGCAGAGTACTTTGAATGGAGTCTGGTATGACAGCCTTCCAATAAATAACCATTCCTTTCTCTTGGCTATGCTACGATTGCCATAATCTTCCTATTCCTGTAAAGAAGAATGCTTCTGTCTTCACTTTGTTCTTTTTCTTACTAGTCTGATCTCCAGGGTCATCCTTATTGTGACATTTTAATGCATAATATTAACTGGATACATTCACAGACATGAACAGTAGTAAATGGATTTTTGCCAACTAGCAACCTACTGCTCTTCTAACTTTTACTCTGAATACAAACCAAAGAGAAACACTTGAGAATACCTACTAGCACACAGCTTAGCTTAAGTCATACAGTGCAGTGTCAATAAGGAAAGCTTATTATCCACAAAGAAACGCTAAACATAGCACAGCCAAAGGGGACAAACAATGTTCAAAGTTGGTTTTATTATAGGTAAAAAAAGAATGAGAGCCCATTTTGATCATTCATTCATTGTTGCATTCGTTTTAAGGGCCAAGCACCCTGTACAAAGTTTGGGAATACAGAGGCAGAGGCAGGGGCAAGCAAAAGTAAATGAGGTCTCTACTGACACCGGGTCTAGTGGAAAAGAAAGATGAAACCAGAGAATCACAAAACAGAGATCAATGCTGTGAGTGGGTAAAACAGGAGGAATTGGCATTGCCAGTGAATCCAGGGGAGAAGTCCTTGCAGAAGTGATGACTAGGCTGAGCTATGTTTTGAGTTCAGTTATGGCTCAATATCTCCAATGGTTACTAAAGAAGGAAGAAAAGAAAGAAATGATCAAAGAAGTAAATAATAATGGTGACTAACTTTAAAATGATCTCATTTAATAAATATTTTGTGAGTACCTACTGTCTACCAGCTAGTTGTCAAAGTGCTAGGGGTTATAACAGTGATCAGAGACAAAAATCCCTGCCCTTATGGCTTTACACTGTGATGGAGGAAGGCATACAGTAAACTCATACATAATTATCATGGAAAAGAATGTTAAATGGTGATTTCTCCTAAGAAGAAAAATAAACTGAGGAAGTAAGATAGGGAAGTGGAGTTGGTGGGGCAGTGAGATACAATTTTACTTAGGGTAGTCTTGCATGCCCTCACTGAATAATACATTTGAGCAAGCCCCAACAGTGGGAAAGCAGCAAGCTATGTTGCTCTGAGGGGTAGCTGTGGGTGGTCACAGAGGGAAGAACCTTAATGAATTCTTCAAGGGCAATGACCCTGAGACTACAGCATGACTGACTTGCCATGAATCTGAAGGAAGTGCAAGGAGGCCAGTATGTCTAAAGTAGGTGGAGCAAGCCAGGAGGTGACTAGTTACATAAGTCCAGAGAGGTAACTAGGACATGAGTTTAAAGAGGCAATAGAGCTTGAAGGACCTTGTAGGGAGGTGTAATTTTTGGCCTTTCCTGTAAGTATAATGGGAAGGAATGAGGAACTTTTGAACAAATGATTGACATCATCTGACTTTTTTTTTTTTTTTTGAGATGGAGTATCACTCTTGTCACCCAGGCTAGAGTACAATGGCGCGATCTCAGCTCACTGCAACCTCTGCCTCTCAGGTTCAAGCAATTCTCCTGCCTCAGCCTCCTGAGTAGCTAGGATTACAGGTGCCCACCACCACGCCCAGCTAATTTTTGCATTTTTAGTAGAGACAGGATTTTACCATGTTGGCCATGCTGGTCTCAAACTTCTGACCTCAGGTCATCTGCCCACTTCAGCTTCCAAAAGCGCTGGGATTACAAGCATGAGCCACCATGCCCGGCCCTGGCTTATGTTAATCTGTCTGCCATGTAGAGAGTACTCATTATGTTCCAGGAACTGTACTAAGTGTTTTAACAGAGAACCTCATTTTATTTTCATAATTCTGAGAGGTGCCCATTATACAGAAGGGAAAACCAAGGCATAGGTAGTTCTACCACCTTAGTCTAGGTTGCGTGGTTAGTAACTAACAGGGCTGAAATTAAAAGCCAAGTAATGTGTTTCTATCACCCTGGCTATTAACCAAATATAAGAGTGCCTCCCTAAGTTTATTTCATTCTCACATCAACCCTATTAGATACATATTACTGTTCTTTTATATAAAGAAACTAAAACTCAGAAAAGTTATGCAAGTAACTAAAGTTTGAATAATTAATAATTAGACGTTAAAATTCAAACCCAGAGTGCTTCATCTCCGAAGCTTGTGGCTTATTGCTTCCCAGATAAGAATGTTAAACTTCATAAAGTATTTCTTATAAAGAACTTGTAATTGTCTTCTGTTTTTTAAAAAAAATCTACAATATCTTTCTTTTTAGATTGGAGTGCTTAGTGTGCTTACTTATATAATGACGGAAACAGTTGGTTTAATTCTACCTACTTGCTATTTTTTTTCTGTTTATCCCATCTGGTCCTTCTTCCTTTATTCCTCCTTCTCTACTTGTTTTTTGGATTAAGTATGTTGTATTCATTCAATTTTTCTCCTCTATTAGTTATACATTCCTGACATTATTAGCTCTTATACTAGAAATTAATGTGCCTTCCTAGCTTCTCAATATATGTATTTTAAATTTGTATTTTTACACTTCACAAATAATGCAAAAACCCTACCACAGTTTAATCTCATTAAAACCCTCCAGTTTTTTGGTGTGTGATATTATTAGTTTTATTTCCACATTGTTATGTTCTTCCAAATCTTTCCTTACTTTTGTTTTAAAAAATCAATATTCTTTTAATATTTACACACATACTTATCCTTTCCTGTGCTCTCTGTTCTTTCCTAAAGTTTAATATTTCCACCTGGGATTATTTTCCTTCAGCCTGAAACATTTCCTTGAGTAAAACTTATAGTGACATTCTCCATAGACTTTAAACTTAGGAGCTCATTGGATGAGTTTAAGAGCATGTGGGACACAACATATGTAACTCAAAGACAAGATCATTTTTTAAAAATGCCTGAGCTGAAACACAAAAGTGGGAAAAAGTTTAAACTCTCTCCAGGTTTATTTGTCAGAAAATATATTTATTTTGACCTAACTTTTGAGTATATTTTTACTTGGTATAAAATTATAAGTTGGCAATATTTTTCTTTCAGCTTCTTAAAGATGTTAAAACATTGTCTTCTAGCTTCCCTAGTCCCT